TACTCACATGTAAGTGGATGTATTTATTGATGTATTAACATTATAAGTTATCCTCATTAGAAAAAAAATTCTCTCTGAATTAAATATATGATCATTTAATGAAATCGCTGTTTAAGTTAATAAATTCAAAAACTGCTTCTAAAATAAAATTTAATTTTATGATATTATTAATGATGTTATTTCTTTCTTATATAAAGGAATAGGAATAATAAAACTAAAAATAAAAAATAAAAAATAAAAAAAATAAACATGAGAAAATTCTTAAAATCACTTTTGTTGAAGAAAGACAAAAGAAACACTGTTGATGAAGAAGAGTTCCAAAACCACTCTCCTATAATATAGTATTCTAATTTATATATGAAGAAAGATAAAATTAAATTCAAACTTAAAGATAAATATATACTCAAAATTAAAATAATTTAAATTTGAAAATATAAACATTTAAAATCAATATCTCTTGCATAAATTGTCAATTGTGTGTGAACATTACTGCATAATGAGAGAAGAAAATATAAAAGAACAAAACTTAGGAATCAAAAACCTATAAGCTATAAGATAGAAACTAAAAATTTATAAGCTATAAACTAGTTAGGAATTAAAAGATTATAAGTTAATTACTTGAATTTAAGATTAATTAATAAATTAATTGATTAATATAAAATGATATATTTATTTATTTAATTATAAGAATAAAATGATAACAAAATAGGCGGGGAGGTTTCTAAATTAAAATGGTAAAAAAACACAGTTTTAGTAAATTGATGAGAATAATTAAAAAAAAAACACTAAAATCTTATAAACTACGTACGAGTTATTTCAATTAATTTATAAAAGTAAACTATAAACTCTTGAAACAAACTTTAATATTAGACAAGTTTATTTTAAAAAAACTAATTCAGCAATCAATTAAAAGAGTTTATAAACTTTTCAAATACTTTGTTAAACACACTCTTTTTTTAAAAAAATAAATAAAGAAAATAACACTCACTCTATCATATACTTAAATTTATAATCACTAACATATAGTAACATACAGAAAGTATCACTATAGGTACAATATATGTAAGTATATGTCTATTTGACATATAGTTACACACAATTTTAGTGTTAATTTTGAATGAGATTTAATAACATATTTTATGTGTCACTATAGCTTATAACTACACTTTTTAATAATATACTAACATATATTGTAGTTTTTGTGTGTGGATAAAAATAATTTTTAGTGACATATATAGTGTCACTATAGGGTGTGTGTTACTATATGACAATTTTTTTGTAGTGAATGTACGAACCAACTATTTTTATAAAAACTTAATTAATTGGTTAACTAAAAAGTAACTTGAATTTAATTTGATATATTATCTGGTGTTAATATATTTTAATTTAATATACTACCACATTATTGAATATATTTATTGATCATAATTCACTATTTAATGTTATTTTTATGTCATTATGAGAATGAATTCTCTCTATTAAATTTTTACTTGAATTTTCTATATTGAAAATTTTCACCGTCAATGTAACACCCAGTTTTTTTTTAAAAGATGGCATTTTCGTAATTATTGATGACATTTTCGTAATTTTAATAAAGTTATGGGGGTATTTTGGGTCCCAGAACGGGCCGTTCCAAATGTTGAAAACGTGTTGTTTTTGTTGTCCCAGAACGGGCCTGGAACGGACCGTTCTGCAAGGGAGAACGGGCCGTTTCGATTTTGGAACGGGCCGTTCCAGTTGAAAATTTTGCCCACGTTTGAAGGATCCGGAACGGGCCGTTCCGAAATCAGTACGGTCGTTCCAGGTGCGTCAGATTGCCTATAAATAGGAGGCAGGGGGTGAAAATTTTATACTGAAGTGAGAAGTGAAATTTTAGAGAGAGAAAGAGAAGAGAGACAGAGAGAGAGAGAGAGGGGGAGAGAAAGAAAGAAAGAGAAAGAGAGAGAGAGAAAGGAAGAGGGAATCCAGAGGAGGAGGCTCTGCCCAAGTTTCAACTGCGCTTATCCAGGTAAGGGGGGAGTGAGAACCTCGCTGAGGGGTGTGGGGATAATTGTGGGATAGTTATTTGTTGGATTGGCCCCCAATCCTTTGCTGTTGTGCTGTCTTATTTTCTATTTGCTTTACTTTATTTCTTGTTGGAAATAATAAATGATTATGTAATCCCAATCCCTTGCCGTTGTTCTGTCCGATTTTCTATTTATTCTACTTTGTTCTTTGTTGAAAGTAATAAATGAGTATGAAATTAATGTTAATAATAAATGGGTTTTAATATGAAAAAGAATGCTCTCTGGATCTCTGTGAATTCCTATGCGGACCTTATAAGAAGTATTTATGACATGACTTTGTGAAATATGGACAAATGACATGAGACATATGAATGGACTATTGAGACATGATATGATTATGAGACTATGACAAATGATGACATGATGTACTAAACGAAATTAAGTAATAAGTCAAATGTTGAGTTAATGAAATAATGAATGTATGACATGCATCATATGCATATATTATTCCAGGTGTGCCGCTGAGGCCGCACACCAGTGATGTAACTTGCTAACGAGGTGTACCTTAGGGTCACCAGTGATGTAACTTGGTGTACCTTTGGGTCACCAGTGATGATATGTGAAACTTCCTTATGGCGCCACATGCATGCATTTATGAGTCGAGTTCATGACATCATTGCATGATAAATGAGTATATATGTGATATTGATGATGTATGTGTATTGTTTATATGTGACTTATATTTGTTGTGTGTGTGTGGGTGCTATCTAACCTTTATTTCTGCACCTGAAACTGAGTGAGATGTTTCTCACTCCCTTGTTGTTCTTGTATATGTTTAAATTATGTTGCAGGTGATCAGCATCATGAGGATGTTGGTAATGAGGCTTAAGGCTTCAGTTGGGCATGCTCTGATAGGATGTGACATCGGGCATAGCTAGGCTTATTTTAACATGTTATTATTTTAAAAGCTTTAATTTTCTCTTCCTTTGTAATTTTGAACGTTCTTGAGAAAAGACCAAAATGTACATCTTTATCATATTATTTTTATTATATGAATTGAAAATTAATTCCTAACTAGGAGGCACTGCCACCTTTGCTGGAATTAAGTTTATATTTTCTTTTATATGACTTTTTAAGTTTTGATATTTATATGTTGACTTTTTATGATTGATGAGTTACGAATGTGAATCTTCTACCTTATGAGATTTGAAACAATTGTTTTATACATGAAAGATGTTATTAAACTATGAAAGATTTTATTTACTCAAAAAGAAAAATAAATTATTGTTTACATTTATTTTGTCGTTACGTTGGGGTAGAGGGTGTCACAGTCAAAACTCTATGGATCTTTTTTTCTATTTAAAATCTTCACTTTGTACATTTCATATATTAAATTTATATTATATATAACTAAATTTTATAATAAATTATATATCTAAATAAATATTA